ACCCGGATCTAAGGTCAATTGAAGTGGATCATCCTACAGTTTTCAATACTTTTTGTATACATTCCTCTTTGATGTTGCTACTACTATATCCATTAGTTCATTACCTACTCCTACGGGATGTGTAGGAGATTATACTATAATTTTTGGTTGGGTAGTTGTGGTAAGTAATGGAGATATGGCTATAATTCTTTTTATTACTGTAAAACTGTGTTGTTGTTGCCAAAGAAGTTGGATTTACAACTAGTATTCTACTTAGGTGCTGGTGCTATAACAGGAACATTTTGTAGAAAATTATTGTCATGTGTAGTATATATATGTCAGCGATGTTTGCATTATTAGCGACACAATCAATTGTTGGTAAAATAAATCTTATAAAAAATATAAAGCTTTCTCGACAAACAACTCGTCGGTAAATGTATTGATTCATGATTAGTTAACCTGTTAATGAAATATTCATTTTGTTTCTAAATATGAATTTACTTAGTATCCCATTGTTGTCATTGCTGTCTTTATGTTAGTTACATTATATATAAACCAGTTTACTTAGTTCTTGACAAGCCATCCTTCCTTTTCCTTAATTGTGCCACTTTCTATTTTGCTTGAGAATTCACGACACTGTTAACATTTTACTTGAAACATGAAGTAATCAGCTACTTGATTGAAGGATCACCTTTTGTAGGGCCTAGTTCTCAGTCAAGACTTAATTGAAAAGAATCACTATGTGCTGGTTTACTGCATTAGTATTAAATTTGTTGAGAATTCTCAAATATTGAAATGTGTAGATAATGAAGTGGTGCAATGCTATGGAACTGACTAGCGATTGGTTATTTGGTTCCAAATGCCATTTTTCACTATTTATATTTGACCAACTTTTTCCTTTCCAAAATTGTTAGGAAGTAAAAATAAGGCTTTATTACTTTGAGAGGTGTCTTTTTCCACTCTCTTAGCTTGAGTGGTGTCTTTTTCCACTCCCTAAGAGGAAGGCACAGGGCTAAAGTTAGTAATTTAGATTCTCATATATTTAACATATTTTGCTGCCTTTTGCTTAGTTTCTTTTTTTCCTTTAATTTAGTTCACCTTTGTTTTGTTATTTTGTGCTTTGTGATGCTACAATTTCATAGCCTATCACTGTAAAAGGAACTTTGTTGTAACATAAAAAACTTATCGCGTAATGGATTGCTTGATTTATATTTCATGGCATTGTTTTTCAAATATCATAGCATTGTTTCACATTTTATTTCTTTTTAATTATATGCTATATCTATGGTTGCAAAGATGTCCCAAAATGGTAAATTATTTTTGAAGCCCGGCGGCTTGGGCCAAAAGATAACGAAATATGAGAAGGATGGAAAAAAAAAAACAATTGAAAAAAAATTAAATCTAATTTGATGCTCTAGGAATAAAGACCCTCAAGAATTCAATGTTTGGTTCTATTCAAAAGGACAATAGTAAAAGTTCTAGGGTGGAAAAGAGAAAGGTGGGTGAAAGTGATAATGATGAGAACTATCAACCACTTAATGATGATGAAGGATTGAGTTCTTTAAGTGATGATGGCGAGCCTTTTGATTCTCAAGTGATTGAGGTAATACATGTGTATATAAAAGGTAATTTCTCTATTGTTTCACTTGTTATATTACTTGTGTTTTGTCTAGTTATTTCAATTACTTGTGCTGTTTTTGGTACGAACTCATTTGATTTTGATTATGACCTAAACTGAAGAAAGTTATAAACCGTTGCAATATTGAATGTTTAGGTGCATATGAAAGTTCAATTTTTTATTTTATTTTATTTTATTTTTTTCAGGATAAATTTTTATATTCATTTGATAAGTATATCTGTATATTCATTGATAAGTAAATCTGTATATTTTTTCGTTTTAATTTATAACTTACTTACCAAAAAAAAAAAAAAATGCTCTTCTTGTTGCTTTATGATTGGTTTTACCTGTAGCTTCTTGGTAATACTTATCTGTTGCTTCATAATGGATAGGTTTACTTGATGCTCTTTTGTCATTTTGATGTTCAATGGTTTGGCTTTGAAGTTTGGTGGTGGCTAGAATATTTTTCGCCATGCCATGTCAATGAAGTGGATCATCCTACAGTTTTCAATACTTTTTGTATACATTCCTCTTTGATGTTGCTGCTACTATATCCATTAGTTCATTACCTACTCCTATGGGTTGTGTAGGAGATTATAGTATAATTTTTGGTTGGGTAGTAGTGGTAAGTAATGGTGATATGGCTGTAATTCTTTTTATTACTGTAAAACTGTGTTGTTGCCAAATAAGTTGGATTTACAACTAGTATTCTACCTAGGTGCTGGTGCTATAACAGGAGCATTTTGTAGAAAATTATTGTCATGTGTAGTATATATATGTCAGCGATGTTTGCATTATTAGCGACACAATCAATTGTTGGTAAAATAAATCTTATAAAAAATATAAAGCTTTCTCGACAAACAACTCGTCGGTAAATGTATTGCCAAAAGTTTACTTTTGCCGACTCATATTGTGTTGCTAAAAATATATTTTTTGCTGACGCAAATTTGTGTCAGGAAAAGTACTACACAATCATCATATTTGAATTACTTTTACCGATGCAAGGTAAATTGCTGACGATGGACGAAGGCTTTTATCAACGACTATGTTTGTCGCTAAAGGCATTACTTTTACCAATGCAATGATAATTTCGTCGGCAAAAAGTTTTGCCGACTCACTTTTGCCTACGGGTTGCCAACGTAGCTCCGTGTGTAGGCGAAACGTTTTGCCAACGAGTTTTCCATTTTAGCAACATATTTTGTTGCGTTACAAAAAATGCAATTTCTTGTAGTGACAGTACTTACGTTTGTTTCCAACACATTTATAGCTATACATGTATACCTTTAGTACAAAAGGAAACAACAAGGAACCAACAACTACCTAATCAACAAATGAGGCAACTCAGCCTTTCAAAACCATAACCATCATAACCCATAATATATCCAAATACACTGAGACAATAATGGTAAATAAGTTATGCTTTAACTACCTTAAGCATGGTAAGCCAAGGATACACCTTTCCACAATGAAATGCCAATTTACCAGACATTAGCTGGAAGGTAATGGTATCTCTGCCAAGTTCTCCAGGTGCTAGCTGGAAGGTACTGGTACCTCTCATTCTAAGCGCAGCCAATTCTGCAGGCACTAGCTGGAAGGTAATGATACCTCTCATTCTCAACGTAGTCTACGTTACCAATCATTACCACATGACAAAGTGCAACCAACACAAGTGTAATGTATACACACAAACTATTCAACTGTAACGCCCCCAAATTACACAATAGATATAACTCAAAAGCATACATTGGAGATTGCATACATCAGAGTGAAAAGTCCTTTCATTACACAAAGTTCAGGATACAAAAGAGTTTAATATAAATAAATGCCCTATTGACTTACACCTTTCCAAGTCTTAACTTGTTTACAACAAAAGTGAGCTTTGCTCTTTACATATTTAGCCCTGGGCTATAGCGATCCCGGTTTTGCCCTGCCCTTCATTGTGTCCCGGACTTGGGGTCTATGGTGAAATATTGTATCCATGTCTTGTTTCTCCCCTTTGACTCCTTGTATTTGAGTTTTGGAACTTGTTGGGCACGTTCGGAATAGGTTGGTTATTAGTTGGGTTAGATCGTTGTTGCCCAGATTTTGGCCTCTTCGCTCGAGCGAGGCTTCTTGCGCTTCTCGAGTGAGCCTTTTGTAATTTGCTTCTTCGCTCGAGCGAGGTTTCTTGCGCTCGAGTGAGAATGAGTTCTCAGGTTTACTTCCAGACACAACTTTTTTGGGGAAGGTGAAGTTCTTCGTTCGAGCGAGGTCTCTTGAGCTCAAGCGAGCTTTGTGTTATTTGTTTCTTCCCGCGAGTGAGCTTTGTGTTATTTGTTTCTTCGCTTGAGCGAGACTTCTTGCGCTCGAGTGTACGTGTTCGTCTATGGCAGACCTAAAGCTTTGCATTCTGTGCTCGAGCGACGCTGCTTGCGCTCGAGCGATGACTCCTTTGCTCGAGGGAGGACTGCATATATCAGTTCACAGCAGAGCATTTTTGTATCACTTTGTGCACTTCTTCTCACTCAAAACCCTAGATCGACTGTCTCTCTCTCTACAAATCCAACTTCTCTCTACAAACCCTTTTGAATCTAAGAGTTTCTACTCTACTTCCTTTGAGAAAAAGGTGTAGCATCTTGTGGGCTTCTATTCCATCCGAGTAAAGCTTGATTTTGGGTATTTTCAGGATTCTCATTCTTCCTCTTCGAGCTCTACTTTTGAGGTAGGGATATTCTACTCTTTAATATGATTTTTAACCTAGGTGTTTGTCATTTTGTATAAATGGCGGGATTTGGGAAGATTTGAGTGAAGTTAGGGTTTGGATTTGAATTTTTGAAATAGGGGTTTTCTATATTTGGCCCCATATATGTATGTGAGGTCTTGATTATGATGTTATATGAGAATAAGTGGTGAGATTGAGCCTTGGGGTTGATATTTGAAAAACGGGGAGATTTTCTCTAATATGAGTTAAATAAATTATTTGTATAAATAATGAAATTGATAAGAGAAATATGAAATTGGAAGGATGTATAAATGGAATGTGTAGTTGGATTCGATAAATCACTCTCCTATGGAAAATATGATAAATTATCTATTTCATAGATTGTATATCTGTTTTGGGCCATCGGTGGAGGATAGCTACGATTGTTGTAGAAACTGCATGAGGATTTGGTAAATTGAAATTAACAATGCGGATTGTATCATTGAATATGACAGTTTGATTAAACCATTGAATATGTGATTTGGTTAGTCATTGTATACGACAACGCATTTAATACACTGTATATGTATCATTGTTTGGGAGGATATAGGGGATGTACTCCATTGTTTGGGAGAAGATAAGGGATGGACTCTATTGAAAATTATGTTGGCCAGAGTGTACAGGGTGAAAGTCCTGAAATCTTATATATATATGGGTGTTGGTTCCCGCAGATGTGATTCCGTAAAATGGCAAGAAAATGGAAGTGTTTGAATAATGGTTGTTATTGAAGTGTTAATAAATGAGTTGTAGTCTCGTTTTGAATTGTTTAGATAACAATGAATTATATCAATGAATTGATTTGGATAAATGAATAGAAATGGCCTAAGATATAGATGTCGACATTGATTGGTCATGGAAAGGGTGTAAGTTGGTTTGCAAGTATTAAACATTTATCTGATGCTGATATATTAGTTAATTCTCATATATTGTTTTAGCATATCTCTACTGGGCTTTGGCTCACCCTACTTGGGGAACCATTTTCAGGTACAGGTGACATCCCACCTCCAAGGGCATAGTTTGAGAGGACGGGGCTGAAGGCTCTATTTTTGTTACCTTTATGTTTATATGTTTTCTTTTTAAGTTGAGAGCTTTAATTGTAAAGAGCTTATAACTCTCTTTTGTTGTAACCAAGTTAACTCTTGGAAAGATGTAAGCCCGTAGGGCATTTATTTTGTTGTTAGTGACTACTGTTACATGTTGTAGTTTCAGAATGAATATTTATGAAAGTGTAATGCATGTAATCTCTTTTGTAATATAAACTCTGATGAATGAAAGTAATACATTCCATATTATGCTTGTGAATCTCTTGGGTTGATTTATACCATATTTTGTGGGCGTTATAACTTGGTATCGGAGCATACCGGGTTTGAATACTTTGGGTACGTGGGAAGTGGATAGTACTACAATGGGCTTGTCTTGCTTGTTAGAGACTTAAGTATGGATGATTATGTGCTTATATGATAACATGCTTATGTGACTATATGGGTTTGGGATTTAATTTCTAGGATGTTGATCGGGTCCATGGGTTTTTAGGAGTCATGTTGGAAAGGCACTTGATCACTGTCGTTTCTAACTGGAAACTCTAGCAACACCAGAGGATGGTCATTATCCGAAAATGAAATTCGTATGTGTCTATGTGATTATGTGCATAAGTGGAGTGAATTACTGTTGTCCATCGTATTAGGACATGAGTGAGATAGCTTCGACACATTTGAAAATGTGCTAATCTCTTTTGTTACCTTTATTAGGATGTCAGGACGAGGTCACGATGACAGGCGTGGTAGACCTAGGAGGCATGAGATGCCTATACTGGATGAGATTTCGACGTAGGAAGAGGGAGTTGGTCAGGCCAATGTGGCCGAGTCTGTAGGTCAACAGGCCATGGGTGCCTTAGCTCGCGAAATGGCTGGAGCTTTGAGGGAATCCATGGACATTCTCAGGGCTGAGAATCAAGTCCAGGCCCAAGTAGCTGAGGCAGGACTGTCTTTTCTGAAGAGGGAGTTCTTTCGGTCTAGTCCGGACAAGTTTTTGAGAGATCCAAAGGAGCCAGTGAAGGCCGATGAGTGGCTAGAATAGATGGTGAAGACGTTTGAGATGCTTGGCATCGAAGACGAAGGTTTGAGAGTGACCTTAGCGTCCTTCCAGCTGAAGGGAGACGTGGGTTAGTGGTGGAAATATGCACAGGGGCGCATTGGAGGGACTTCGGAGGCATTTGTTGATGCATTCCAGGACAAGTATCTACCTGCTACAGTGAGGGAGAAGTTGAGGGATTAGTTTTCTCAGCTCAAACAGTTGAACACGCCAGTGGCTGAGTTTGAAGCCACATTCACTACTTTGTCGAGGTTTGCACCAGAGTTAGTGGCGACAGAGGAGCGCTGTTGTTGGAGTTCGAGAAGAAATTGCGAACCGGGCTCAAGTTTCGAGTTACCAGGTCCATGATTAGGGACTATGGGCACCTTATGGAGGTTGCAGCCCATCTTGAGACTATCATGCATACAGAGGAAGAGAGGATGAGGGGCTCCAAGAGGAGTCAGGATGGTCAGGGGGACAGCAAGAGGTAGAGGGGTTCTAACCCTCAGCAGTCCCAGGGAGCACATTCGAGGTCTACCCTTCCAGTGCAGAGTTCAGGTTCTGGGAGAGGTGGTCAGGGAGACGTCACTTGTTTTAAGTGTGGCTAACTGGGCCACAAGTGTCCAACTTGCCCACTAAGGGGAGGAAGGCAGGGAGCAGCTTC